GCTCAAGGACTTGCACGGATGGCCAGTGACGGTCCTCTGAGTGACCGAAGGTGTGCGGTCCCCCAGTCTGTACGGCGCCTGCCTACCCCAGAGACACACGGCAGCCTTGGAGTTCCCAGGTCTCACGTGGCTGTCAGGGCCCCGGCCCCCCAGGGCTGGTGGGCTCGGCCTTCCTCCTCTTCGTGGTCCTCCTCCTACTGCCTTCTCTGCTCAGATGGTCAGGCCAGGATGGGCACCTGGTGGGGTCCAGTGACCATATGGCTTCCAAGTGGCCTGGAAGCTCCCAAGAATCTTCATAAGTCAGGCCCAGAGTAGACATGTTTGTGGGTCAGCTCTGAGTCTGTTCCCAGGCTGTGAGGGGTTGTAGTCACATGGATTCGTGTATGTGCACGTGCATACAACGTGTGTAGGATGCACACCTCACATGGACACACCACATGCACTGCCACTGGGGCGCTGCTGGTGCCCGTCCCCTTCCCTCTGCTCCTTTTACAAGGTGCTGTGGAAACCTAGCTGCTTGTCAGCTAATCTCCTGTCCCCAAGTCCCTGTGAGCCCTTGGGCTGTCACTGACTCCTGCAGGGCTCCCCAGTGTGTTGGCTGCGGCAGCCCAGGGCCCCTGGGAGCAGCGCGGGCCTCCTTTCTCAGGCCCAGTCCGGAGCCTGGCACTCGTCATGGCTGAAAACAGGGCTTGATTGCCTCCTTCCCAGGGCCTGGCTGCAGCCACTCGGACAGACTGCCCCAGCCTGGGCCTCACGGCACTCAGGAGGGAGGGCTCAGCAAATAGCTGTCCACAGATGAGGGGCACCCAACCCAGGGGGTCAGATGGCCAAGCACCCTGCCCCCCACCCCCAGTCTCCAGCCCCCAGCCAGCCCCCCTCCCTGCCCCCGGTCTGCTCATTGCCCTGGCAGGCCTGGGGGCTTCTCCCCAGGGTCTGTGTACTTTTCCCTCCACCCAGAGAGTCCATCCAGGCTCTCTTCCTCTTCTAGACCTCGCTCAGTCCTTTCCCCAGAGAGGGGCAGGCCATGCTCCACGCTGCGTGTGCAGGGTGGCCGCCAGAGCCTGTGGGGCCGGCAGAGGCTCAGCAGAGTGCCTGCCCTCCTCCTCCTCTCATGGAGCCCAGCTGGAGAAGCCCGTGCTCCGGGCCAGCCTGCCACCCTGTGGTGACTCCCTCGGCCACTCCTTCCTGTAGCCGGCAGTGGGGTCTGAGGGCAGTACAATCTTCCTTTGAACGGTGCTGACTTGCAGAAATTCCTCTCTGTTCCCCAGCAGCTTTCTCTCACGGGGCCTCCAGAGCAAGGCTCACCCCTGTCCCACACAACAGCTGTCCTCGGACCTGTAGACTTGTCTGCCATGCTTCCAGCCCCTCAGCTGCCCGGCCTCAGGCTCTGTGCCGCGTGGCCGGTCCCTGACCAAGGCCCAGGTGACCTGTGTCCTTGGTGGGGAGCAGCTGGCGTGTCTGCCACCTCCTCGTTCAGGACCCTTAACTTCTGTTGCGACCAAGGGCCTTGCTTGCTGAGGTTTCACTTAATGCTGTGAATTTATTTAAAATCTAACAGCCTCTTAAATGGTTAATAGACTATTTTATTCCCAGTCTTGATAGACTGTGCCTCTCCCATTCTGTTCTCTGGTAGCTCATTTGTGGGACTCAAGTACAGATCGCTACATCTACCCTCCTGAATTCCATCCTGTGATCCAGGCTCAGATCAGTGAGGGTCGAGATTAGTTTTAAGGTTGCCCAGTCTTCCCCCAAAGGGCGTGTCACGATTTGATGAACTGTTTGCTGGTCACTTGGCCAATTGCAGTTTTTTTCCACAGTGTAAGCCCTGCTGCCATGAAGTTTCTCTTGCAAATGTCTCTTTCCTTCTTTTGGATTATTTCTGTTGGATGAGTTCCCAGAAGAGCCGTTGATGGGTCGGAGGCCGTGGGCAGTCTCAGGACTCCTGAAACAGAGCAGCTGCTGATTTGGGAGGGGCGGGCTCTGCCTCAGCGTTTTGCAGACTGAGGCGCATCCCTCAGCTCTGGCTCCTGAGGGCTCAGGCCGCCCTGGCAGCCCCTCCCTCCAGCCCTGCAACCCTGCGGGGCCCAGCGGACAAGTGTGCCTGGATCCCGGCCCCCTTCTCCCTCCAAGAACACGTGTGCGATGCTGGGGCCTTTAACCTGACCCTGATAATGGACGTCAGGGATCCCTGTGTATAGATGAGTGTCCTGGAAGGCCTGCAGCTGACATCCCCTACTCCTGAAAGGGACCTGGGAAAGGGCCTAGAATCTCTGTCCTACACTGCAGAGGACGTCCTCACAGAGACACACCAGTAAAGCGTGTGTGAGGAGGGGACATGCACACCTGGGTGGGGTGGGGGTGGCATGTGAGTGAGTTGGTTGTGGAAGGGTGTGGGGAGGTGAGAAGGGGCCCATGTGTGCTGGGTGGGGGGCGGGGAGGAGAGTGGGAGGAAGATGGGACCAGACGCCAGGTCAGTGCTGCAGTCGGAAGGGCGTTTGTGCTCTGGAGCAGAGCGGCGGGTAGGGAGTCACCCAAGGGTGCTGGGCGCAGTGTGACACAGGGCAGAGACAGCTCAGAAGCCGGGAAGAAGGTGGACTGAATAGGAGGGGCAGAGTGTGGCTGTCACAGAAATCCTGGGATTGTGACAGGGTCTGGCCCTGCAGGGCAGCTGGTGGAGGTGGGGGGCGGCCCTCCTTCACTGCCCACTGGGCCCCTTTCCTCCCTTTGGTCTCCACCTCCTAGAAAGTTCTTTCCCATTGAGTCCCTTGGCAGCTGCCTGGTTTGCCCCTTCCCGTGTCACACCGTTCACCTTCCTCTCTGTGCACCTCCTTGTTTAGAGCCCATTTACTGCAGTGACTTCAGGTGGGCTGCACCTGCCTGACCAGGCCTGGAGGTTGGCTGTTAGTTTTCCGTAAACCACAGTCAGCCAGTAGCCCTACTTCACAACTACGGTTTCTTTCTGGTTATTCTCATGACTTTATGCTTTCAGTTTGTTTATGCTCTTAAAAAAAGTTACAGAAGTGTATATAATGCAAAAAAGTGGCAGCTCCCCACACCCCGCCCCCAGAGGGAAGCTCCAGGCCTCCCCCCCCAAAACCTATTGGGTTTCCAGGCCCATGTTCTGGGTCTCAGCTTTGCTCTGGGTGTTTCTGCTGCTGCCTGTGTCCTGCTGTGGCTGACAGTGTTGGAGCCTGGGTCCCTCGGGGAGGAGGCAGCATGGGCCACCCCGGAGGGGCCCGGCTTGTTTTCAGAGAACCTGGGACTATGGCTGGGGCATGGAGCACCTCACTCAACCTGATTGGAACCCCTGGGTTCCTGCCCCAGTCACCATGCTCACTACTGCCTGCTGCTGTCCTTCTTCCCTGTGGCCCCCAGCAGCTCTGCCCCTGGGGCCACCCTGAGAACTGGCAGGACTGGGTGTCAGGCTATGAAGACCCTCCTAGAGGCCCAGCTCCTTCCCTACCTGAGAGCTTTCTCCACAGCACCTGGTTTGGTTGGATGTTGGGAGAAGTCCTCTGATCCCGGTGTCAGGTTCCCCTTACCACACAGGGTGGGGGTCCCCGCGTCCCCTGCATGCCCTCCGCCCGCCCACAGGCCCCTGGGAGAGTCAGTCGCTACTTCCTGGGCTTAGGTGGAACCAGGTGCACTCATTCCTGAGCTGTAATGATGCCTTTGAGAGGTTTGCAGTAGTGGACATGGCTGTGGAAATGGGAGGATGATAGTACTGCGTTGGCTGAAGAGTTTGTTTTTCTCTATACGATGGCTCTAGTAGCACTTAGCTGTCTTTAACTTTATTGGAAACAATTTTGTTAGATTGTATTGAGTCACATCAGCGTGGATTAAAAAAAAACTTACCAAAATCGGTGAACTTTTGTGTGGCCATTTTAATGTTGAAGATGGAAGAAAACATGCAATGTTTTTTGGCATATTATGCTTTATTATTTCAAGAAAGGTAAAAATGCAACTGAAACACAAAAAAGAGATTTGTGCAGTGTATGAAGAAGATGCTGTGACTAATCAAATGCGTCAAGAGCGGTTTGCAAAGTTTCGTGCAGGAGATTTCTTACTGGACAGTGCTCCACGGTCAGGTAGACCAGGTGAAGTCAGTAGTGATCAGATTGAGACATTAATTGAGAACAATCAATGTTATACCACAAAGAAGATGCTGACACACTCAGAATATCCAAATCAGTAAAGTTATCGGTGGAAATGAAAAATGTGCCTTTTGTTTAATGGAAAAAGCCATGCAGACTTGGCCATCCCAGGGATAACCATTGTGAGTGCTTCAGCCTGGGCTGGTAGGGGACAGGCCTCGCTATCACCATGTGACTCCCTGCGGGAGAGGGGATTGATTGTCCCCATGGAAACACAGGTGGGAGATGGGAAACCTGCGGTGCAACGGTGAGCAGGTGGGGGGCTCTGTTTTGCAGACCGTCCTGGGGGAATGGGGAGGGGCTGCCCTATAGCAGAGCTGGCTTCTGCCGGGAGCTGAGGCCCCACCCTTCTGCCTGGTGGGGAGATGGTGGCTCAACACCAGATCTGTCCTTGGGGACCTGTGGCTGCCCACCTAAGGAAAGTAGAGCCTCCACATCCGGATGCTCCCACCCTGAGTAGAGCCTCAGGGCGCACAGTGCAGGCGCAGAGGAGGGCAGGGTTCACAAAGGGCCTGTTGCACTTCCTGTGGCCGGAGGATGCCTCAGTGGCACAGAGCCAAGCTTGGATTCCTGTCTGGGCTCCTGACTCCAATCAGTACTCTTGAAGGTGCTCGGGCACAACTTGAGCCTGCTCAGTGCGAACAGACACCTGTCCTGGACCTTCGGCTGCTTCCCAGTCTGTGCCTGCAGCCTCTGTGGGGGTTCGGTCGGGGCAGCGGGTTCCTGGCTGACATCTGTTGCCAGGATTAGTGTTTCTTTCCGGAAGTATCTGAACTTGCCCCTGGAAGATCCCGGGTCAGATCCTGAGGTCCCCACTAACCCTGTCCCCACCCCCACCTGCCACAGGAGAACCTTATGCTGTCCATCCTGCCCAAGCACGTGGCCGACGAGATGCTGAAAGACATGAAGAAGGACGAGAGCCAGAAGGACCAGCAGCAGTTCAACACCATGTACATGTACCGCCACGAGAACGTCAGGTGTGCCGGCCCTGGGCTCCAAGAGCAGGTCGGGGCGGGGCTCTGTGGGGCCAGCCGAGCACTGAGGGTCTGAGGGTCTTCCCCGGATCAGAAGCAAGGTCACCCCCACAGCGTGAGCCCCACTGATGGCCTGAGGGCTGCGGTGTGGCTTAGGCCACATGGTCCAGCCCCGTCTCTGTACCACCATCACCCAGGGCTGGGGAGTGACATCCGAGAGGCTGCCCAGACATTCGGGGCAGCACTGGGGTCAGAGCCACGCCCCCTACCAGGGAGATGCCTTCATCTGGAGGCCGGAGTGAGGCAGTGTGGGGAGGGGGCCCTGTAGAATGAAGTCCAGGAGGATGAGCTAAATGCTAGAGCCCCAGATTCACCCACCGAGGTGCCAGAGGCTGCTCTGGGGCTCAAGCAAGGACCTGCTGCCCCCGTGATCCTGGCTGCGGTGGGTTGGGAGTGGGAGCTGGCAGTGGTGTCAAGGGTGTGGCCCGTGCCTCACCGCAGTGGCCTCCCTCCTCCGCAGCATCCTCTTCGCAGACATCGTGGGCTTCACCCAGCTGTCCTCGACCTGCAGCGCCCAGGAGCTCGTGAAGCTGCTCAACGAGCTCTTCGCCCGCTTCGACAAGCTGGCGGCTGTGAGTGCCCTCTCCGCCCGCGCCAGGCTCCCGGGGACTCCGCCCACCTGCCCTTCCTCTGCTCTGTGTCACTCCTCCCCACTGACGGGGAGCCTGCGGTCATAGCCCATGCCCTGCACTTTCAGAAATACCACCAGCTGCGGATTAAGATCCTGGGCGACTGTTACTACTGCATCTGCGGCCTGCCCGACTACCGGGAGGACCACGCCGTCTGCTCCATCCTCATGGGGCTCGCCATGGTGGAAGCCATCTCGTGAGTGCGGTGCCTCTGTGAGAGAAGGGACGCCTGGCTCCTCGGGAGAAGCAGGCCGTCTGTGCAGATCTGTCGTGGTGGCCCCAGCCCCCCAGGTTCCCTCACTGGGATCTGTTCAGGCATGCCACTCGGGATGTAGTGATGCCACCTGGGACGTAGATTAGGTCAGCAGGTCACTCGGTCCCCAGCTCTTGGAAGCTGGGTGGTGACTTAGCTTCCTGACAGCCGAGGGGAATGGTAAGACTCCACAGCCTCTGAGAGGTGCTTTTCCAGCCATCGTCCACACCGTTTTCTCCCCGAGGTTGCAGTTGTAACAAGTGAGGTTCACACACCACCTCACCTTTGCGAGCTGTTCCTCCCTGGGTGTTGCTACCTCTTCTCTCAGTGTTCTCGCACCACGACCTCCAAGGTGGGCGGTGCAGGGGTCGGCATGCCCACCTCCCAGAGTAGAACGCCAGTGTACAACAGGGACATGACTGCTGAGGTCCCCAGATGTATGGGGCGACAGTGACAAGCTAGAATGGAACCCTGGCCTCTGAGCTCCCAGCCACAGCTCCTGCCTCCAGCCCCGGGGACCATGGGGGTGCTGAGCTCTGCCTCCACTTGCCTTCTCCACGGCCTGCACTGCTTGGAGACCCTCGCCCACCGTGCTCCCTGCTGTCCCCTCAAGGCCCCTGGTGGGTGCTCCCTCCAGCACTGGCCTGGAAGCGGAGGCTGCCTCTTGCCAGGGGTGGTCATTCAGGGTTAGCGACTCCTCTCCACTCATCACGTCACCGTCAGGCAAAGTGCCGATTACATTTGTCTCTTCCTGGAGTGCCCGTCAACTAGCGGTGCCCTTGGTACATGTAGCACCTAGCATAGTGCAGGGCACAGCCTGGATACTCGGTAGGATGTCACCTGCCTGAGCAATAAATGGGTGATGGGAAGAGCACCTGGTCCCTTGGGGAGAACAGCTGGGGCGGTCACTCTGTGTGCTCAGTATTAGGGCAGGCAGAAAGCCGGGGCACCCAGCTGGTCCCCTTGGTCCAGAGGGGAAGAAACCCTGTGTGGGGTCTCTCCTGCAGGGCTGGGGGGCTGGCACCTTGTGGTGGGCATGCCCCAACCCCTCCTCCTTCCTGTGTGCCTGGCAGGTATGTGCGGGAGAAGACGAAGACCGGGGTGGACATGCGTGTGGGGGTGCACACAGGCACTGTGCTGGGGGGCGTCCTGGGCCAGAAGCGTTGGCAGTATGACGTATGGTCTACCGACGTCACCGTGGCCAACAAGATGGAGGCTGGTGGTGTCCCCGGGTGAGTGTTCCTTCCGTGGGCAGATGAGGGAGGGGGCACCCCATTCACCCCTCAGAACTGTGGCCCAGACAAGGGACTCGGGGCCTTAGAGAAGGGCCCGCCCCCCAAGGAGCGGCGTCCTCTTCGGGGTGCCTGCTGGCTTGGTCTGAGGTTGGCCGTGGTGTCTCCTGCTTGGAGTCTGCAGCTGCCTGTCTTGTCATCCCCTTTACTCACTTGTGGGGTAGCCCGGGCTCTGATGTCACCACACATGTATGCCCAGCCTCCCCAAGGGCGGTATTACTAGTGACAGTCCCCAGCAGGCCTGGAGGCCGTGGCTCGAGCTCACAGTGCACCTGCACTCCGCACCTGAGCTCAGGTGCAGAGTTGGCCAGGCTGGGCCTGCCCTTGGGGAGGATGGGCTAGGGAGGCGGTGGCACCTTCCCCGCCTGGGTCAGGGAGCTCCCCTCAAGGGCAGCTGGGAGTCTCCCAGTGGCGACTCCCCAGAAATGGGCTCGCTGCCCCCTGCAAGCAGGTGCTGCAACTGAGGATCCTGCCGGGCGGGCAGCAGTGGGACCTCCTGGCTTTGGAGGTCAGGCAGACCTCTGCATTGCCTCTTCCCATTCCACACTGTCTGCGGCCTGCGGGGACAGAGCTGTGTTCTGCTCTACACTGAGGCTCAGAGATGGGGGCAGGTGCCCCCGCGCCCCCGCTGAGGCCTCCGGCCGCCCTGCAGGCGCGTGCACATCTCCCAGAGCACCATGGACTGCCTGCGGGGGGAGTTTGACGTGGAGCCCGGTGACGGAGGCAGCCGCTGCGACTACCTGGAGGAGAAGGGCATCGAGACCTACCTCATCATTGCGTCCAAGCCAGAGGTGAAGAAAACCACCACCCAAAATGGCCTCAACGGCTCGGTGAGTCCCAGCACCCCCGGACTGGGGGGCGGGGAGGAGGGGCCACAGGAGCATGCGGAGGAGTGGGCAGGGCGCGTGAGCTGAGACTGAGTCCCACGGCGCAGGTGACCAGAGGGAGCCTCCTCACGGGGCGGGGCTGGGGAGGGGGTGGAAGCTGGCGTGTGGGGCAGACGGTGCCTGTCCTTCCTGGCAAGTGGGAATTCGAGTGACTGCCCGTGTCCTGCCCCTGGAGGTGTGTTGGTGGCGCTCAGGAGAGTGGCCAGGTTGCAGTGAGGGCCCCCTGCATGGAGGAAGCAGCTGAAGCCGCCAGAGCAATGTGGGTGCCGGGGAGGGAGCACGGGGCGGGAGCGGGGAGGCCACGGGTTGGGACAGGTCCTGGGGCAGAGGGGCCGGCAGCCTCTGCACTCAGCGTTCGTCGCCATTCACATGCAAGCAGAAGCCGTGGTATTGCACGGTTCCGTCTCGGACCCTGAGGAGAGCCGACACTTCCGCTGGGCTGTTAGCCGGGCGGGTTTCTTCTGAGACGGGCACACTCACGTCGGCCCCGCGAGTGTGCCCTCTCTGATCACTGGGAGCTCCTCGTGGCGAGAGAAGAGAGCCCACCGTCACGTTGTGACGTGCATCAGATCTGCCCACGCTGTGGCCTGTCCCTCTTGGGGAACCTCGGTTTGGGTGGCGGGCCGATTCCGGCCATCCTCACCCCGGCGCTGTGCGTAGGGATGGAGACAGCCCGCTGCGACTCCTGTGAGCTCGCCTGGGTGGTTGGCTTCTCCGTCCTGTAGGGAGAGTCTCTAGGTCACGGCGGACTGTGGAGAGGCAAGGTTCACAGATTGTCCGCCTGCTCTGCTGCTGTCACAGGGTCAGAAGTGATGCCACGTGAGCCGCACAGGGAGGGGTGACAGCAGTGGCCGCACTGGAGGTCACAGGCACACACTTCCGTTTGCAGAAATCCGTCCGTGGGGTGTAGTTGAGGGAAGTGACCGATGAGGAGGAGAGAGAGAGCAGGTATCTCCCAACGGTACTAATCCAGTCTCGCCAGTCTGGGCGTCTGAACTGCCCCAGAGACAGCTCCCGAGTTTGGGTCTTGGCCACAGCTGGCCCCCCTGTCCTCAGCGGCCCCTCGTGCATCTCCACTGTGTGTGCACATGCGGCTCAGCTCGCAGGTGCAAAGCCGAGCTCCTCCTCTTCCTCTCCACACTGAAACCGCTCTCCCACCCCACACCGTCTTCCTCGTCTCAGCAGCGGCCACTGCATCCATCCTTCCAACTGCTCAGACAAAAGGCTTTGAAGACGCCTTAACTCCTCTTTCTACCATCTACGAGCAAGTTCTGTTGGCCCTTCTTGCAAAGCAGGTCTCTAGCCCCCCACTTCCCACAGCCCACGGCTCCCACCTCCGTCCGAGCCACCGTTGTCTTGTGTGGGATCCCGTAGTTGTATCCCACCCGTCGCCCCACTCCTGTCCTTGCCCCCTGCCCGCTCGTCTTTCTCAATACAGCAGCCAAGTTGATCCCCCTAAAGTGTGAAGTGGAGCCACGTCACTCCCTGCCCAGAACCCTTGCTGGTCTCCCATCAGAGGCACAGCCCACTCCCGACAGGGCCCTGCCCCCTCACTCCCTGTGCCCCGCAGGCCAGCCAGGCTGTGGCTCAGGGACTCCAGGTGCACGCCAGTCCCAGGGCCTTTGCCCCAGCTGCTCCCTCCTCCTGGAACCCCCACCCCTAGATGGCTGCTGGATTTGTTCTTCAGGTCTCCCCGACCTGCTCTTTGTAGTCGCACCCCCACCCATCGCCGGGCCCCCTTTCCGACTTACTTTCTCCAGAGCTTGCGCGCGCTCCTCTCACGCACTGAGGTTACATGGGATTAAAACTTACTTGTGTGTGGGTCTCAGCCTTTCCTCACCAGAATGTGCACTCTCAAGGTCAGGGCGTTCGGTTTGTGTCCCCAGGAATTAGGTCAGTTCCTGTCACGTAGTAGGTACTCAGTACTTATTAAGTGAATTAATGGACGAATGAATGACTGCCCTGTGTGATTGCGTTTAACTTACTCTGTCGAGGAAAATACTGTTTCAGAACTAGGAATGGGGCCCTGTTTGGTGTGGCTCAGGGGATTGAGTGCCACTCTGCAAACCAAAAGGTTGACAGTTCACTTCCCAGTCGGGGCACGTGTCTGGGTTGTGGGCCAGGTCCCCAGTTGGGGGCATGAGAGAGGCAACTGACTGATGTTTCTCTCTCTCATGGATATTTCCCTCCTCTCCCCTCTCTCTCTGAAAACAAATAAATAAAACCTTAAAAAAACTTTTTTAAATTGAAAAAGTAGGAATGGGAATACTCAATTTTAATAGTAGAAGTTAATACTAGAAAATTATTGAGTTTAAAAATTAATGTTCTAAAGGGGGAACTGAGTAGTGCAATTTCCAAGCCTCTGAGACGTCTGAACTCCAGTGAGGAGATCGCAGCCTGAGGGCAGATGGGCCACAGGATGGGGCAGGCAGCCGGCAGTGTCTGTGTGTGACCCATGTGGCCACGCCTTCCTCCCGCAGGCCCTGCCAAATGGAGCGCCACCCTCCTCAAAGCCCAGCTCCCCTGCCCTCATCGAGACCAAGGAGCCCAATGGGAGTGCCCATGCCAGCGGCTCCACGTCAGAGGAGGCTGAGGAGCAAGATGCCCAGGTGTGTGTGGGGCCGAGGGCCGGGGTGTGGGGCGGGGAGGCGGACGCTGCCACAGCAAGGGTCCCGTGCCCAGAGCGGGAGAGCTGGCCCCCAGCCCAGGCCCTGCTCCCATTAACAGTGCAATCCTGGCAGGTCACCTCCCCCCAGGCCCCGCCCCACGTCCCCTAGAGTCGGGGGATGACATCAAGAGGTGCTCACCTCCGAGGCCCTGCCCAGCCCTGCTGTCCCAGAGTCTGGTAGATAGGAGGGCCGGGAGGACATCCATGGACACTCCTACAGGACCCAGGGTGGTTTTGGAAGTGAGACTTCAGGGTGGAGCTCCCCTCTGGCGAGGTCCCCCTCCAGGTTGCACGCCCACATGGGGGACTTCTGAAGGGATCAACGTGCCGTGTACCTGAGGCCAGGGTCCGCCTGGGAGCGCACTCAGGATCTGGCCGTCACTAAACTTCCCGATGGAGTCCCTGGGGCAACTGCTCAGAGACCGCGTCTGCCTCACTGAGGCTGCTGTGTTGCTGCTGGGGAGGGGAGCTGGCCCTGGTCCCTCAACATCAGGTGCTGGGGGACAGGAAGGGAGACAGAGCTGCGAGGAGACTGAGCCCCACAGCATTCAGTCACTGTTCCCCACTGTGATTTCTTGATGGAAAGTGGGGATGCAGACTCCCTGTGACTCCCTGACACGGACGCAGAGTTTTACTGCCCCACGGTTTTTGTCCACACAGTCAGCCAGTGTCACGGAATATGTCTTAGGAACAGAGACTTTTGGTGCTGGGGCGGACCACCCGCTTCATTTTGCAGAGAAGGAAATTGGGGGCTAGGGAAGCGTGAGTTACATGGGGTCCAACTGGCAACCAGGGGCCCCGAGGTCAAGATGGGAGTCTCAGTCTGGCGCACAGGCAACTCCACGCGCCTGGTCTCGGTGCTTGTTTGGAGTGATGGCTACATCGTCACAGTGTGGATTCATGTTTCGGGAGTTAATGCTTGTCCTTTGTGCCTGGGAATAAAGATGGCAGTGGACACCCCAGCCCCACCACCCCACCAGGGACAAGGACATTCCCTTCTCTCCCATCACTTCCTCTCCCAAATGAACCACGAGTGCTAGGGTTGGGGGTCACACACACCCTGTGGATGTTGATGTGTGTGGCTGTGACACTCCCATCCTCGCAGCAGGATGTGCAGTTGTCCCGAATCCCAGGTCTCCGGCTTGGGAGCCCGGTGGCCGCTCCCCTGCAGTGCTGCCGTCAGTGGATGACCAGTGCAGGGTTTCTGTAGGGGCCACGGGCCTGGGACCGGGTGTCCCAGGGAAACCAGGAAGGACCTCCGCTCTGGGTCCAGACCCAAGCAGGAGGGAGCTGCACGGGAGCCCTGGGAAGACTCTCCTGGAAACTGGACACCCCAGCCCCGCCCCGCCCCCTTAGCTCTGCCTCACCTGCACTGCCTTATAGGCCAACAACCCCTCGTTCCCCAACCCTCGCCGGAGGCTGCGCCTTCAGGACTTGGCCGATCGAGTGGTGGACGCCTCCGAGGACGAGCACGAGCTCAACCAGCTACTGAACGAGGCCCTGCTGGAGCGGGAGTCTGCCCAGGTGTAAGTGTCCCCGGCGCCCCGTGCTCCTCAGCACCTGCCTTGTCGGGCCCTGGCTCAGGGCATTTGTTAGCTTGACTGTGGCCCCTTCAGGTGGGCCCAGGTAGGTGTGGCATTTGTGTTTCACGGGGCTTGTTTCCACTGCAGAGTGAAGAAGAGAAACACCTTCCTCCTCTCCATGCGGTTCATGGACCCCGAGATGGAGACCCGCTACTCGGTGGAGAAGGAAAAGCAGAGTGGGGCTGCCTTCAGCTGCTCCTGTGTGGTCCTGCTCTGCACGGCCCTGGTGGAGATACTCATTGATCCCTGGTGAGGGAGGGGCACTGCAGGGCCCAGAGGCTTGGGCGGGGGGACGATGGGCTTCCTAGGCCAGAGGCATAAGGGACACGGGCACCTCAGATGGAGCCTGATGTAGGGATGCAGACCTTCTCTGTTCCTTGCCACCCTCCAGCGCAATAGGCCCAGCTGCCCTTCGGCCCAGGGAATGTGGAGGACCGTGCCCTGGACCCCCGTTCTTCTCTCTGTTCCCAGGGTTCTGGGGTAGCACCAGCATCAAAATGGGGATCAGACCAGGGCTGAGAAGGCCGAGGGTCAGAGCATTTAGGGGGTTGGAGACCTTGGCTAGCTGGGCCTGAGTGGTTCTGGGGTACAGAGGTGGAGGCTGGGGACACTTCTCAATGTCCGTCACCAAGACCGAGTCTTGGCTCGTCTTGGGACAGATTTGAGGCTCCGGGCACAGTCTGGTAGCTCTAACACAGCAGCAAATCCCTGGGGCAGGGCGGGTGTTCCAGAGTCCCTGCCTTAACTGCTGACACCGGCTGGAAGGCCAGCCTGCCTCAGCCAGTCAGCAGCTCTCGCCTGCTCAGGGATTCCCCCATCAGAAAGGGGCAGGTGTGGAGCCTGTTCCAGTTAGTCTGGGGAAAGTAAAAGAGCCTGGGACTCCCATGGCCCTCGGTTCTGGACACACTTGACTGTTGTACTTCTCGTGTGACCGCAGGCATGTCACTGAGTGTTCCTAGAGCATCGGTTACTCATCTGTAAAATTGAAGTTGAAGAGGGTACTCAGGATGACAGTGCCCGCCCCAGCTGACCCTGAGGGGTGCTGTGTGTCTGGGGATACACAGTGAACACAGCACACAAGAACCCTGTCCTAGCGGAACTTAGTTCCCGAAGGGGAAGAGAAACACCACGAGTGATCAGAATGTGTATGCAGACAGGGAGGAGGGGAGACAGGGCGCTGTGGCGAGGTGCATTCTGGGTGGCTTGCATCCTTATATAGGGTGTCAGAGCAGGCCTCGCTGACAGGGCGGTCCTTCAGGGACAGCCTGAGGACAGGTAGAGGTGCCCAAGAGCCAGGCACTGGATTAGCAACACGGAGGTTTCCAGGGCTCTTGGCAAGAACACTGGGTGGAGAGAAACCACACAGAAATAGGTGTGAAAATGAGGGATTCGGAGATGGTGAGTTTCTTGAAGCTCAGGGCTGAGATGGACTCGGAAGGACCACATCGACTGTTAGGATGAGCGCGGTTCTCAGGACAGTTCTCAGTGGTGCTTGGCAGTACAGGGAGCTGCTGTTCACGCCCTCCTTCCATCAGAGCAGCGGGCAGCACGCAACTCCCCATGAACCCCTTCCCAGGTGTTCACTGGGCTCTGCCCAGAGCATCTGCGAGTGCACCCTTCTCTGGGCAGCGGCCTGGCCAACACTCGCAGCTCGGGAGGGTCGCACACCCCCAGGCCCTGTGGTCGGCGGGCAGGCCCCGGTGTTGCCCAGTTTCGGGTGCAGGCTTGTGCCTTCTGTCCAGGGCCTGCCTTCCACTCTCCTTAGCTCACTCGTCCAGCCCCTCCCCCATTCTCACTACTCCTTTCAGTCCTTTCCCTATTAATTGCCTTCTCCCCGTTACAGGCTAATGACAAACTATGTGACCTTTGTCGTGGGGGAGGTTCTGCTTCTGGTCTTGACGATCTGCTCCCTGGCTGCCATCTTTCCCCAGGTGAGCAGCACTTTTCTTTTTGGCTTAGAAGTCCCCCCGGAAGTGAGTGGTACTTCCTGTAAAAGTAGGTGTTGGTGGAGTTCTGCGTCCTATCAAATCCTTACAAATGGATTTCAGAGCATCTCTTAGGACGGCTCAGGATGATCCATCCATTCGTTCATACACATCTGCTGGGCACCCCCTCTGAGCCAGGCTCTGGGGGCCGACACTGGCGCACGAGGGGGTGTGTCAGTCTAGAGAAACGGGAGCCTGTTCAGAAGGGCAGTGGAGGCCCAGCTGGAGGGTTGGCCCCAACTGTGAAGGACCTTGAAACCCAGACAGAAGGATTAGGACTTATTTCTGTAAGCCCTTGGGGTGCCATGCAGAGTTTTTGATCAGAATGACAAGGCAAAAGAAGTGTTAATCTGGCAGGCAGCTCACCAGGTGGTGGAAGACTTAGGTATACTGATGGGAAAAGCAGGAACAGCCTGGTGGAGCTGGCTGGCCCTGAGAGTCCCTCTGTTTTAGCCTTGTCATTTGGAGATAAGGAGCAGGCTGCAGCCAGCTAGTGCTGCCCACCTCCTGGGCTGGCCCTGAACCTTCTGTGGAAGGGGTTCTGCTATCTGGAAGCTGTGACATTTTATAAGTACGTCACATAGGAGCAACAAAGAGCACCAGGACTCCTGCGCTCCCTTCTCCGCTCTGCCACACTGTCGACTCTGTTTGATACGCACGCACAGCACCCCTTTCCAGGTTCCTGGGAAGCATGGGGGCACAGGTTCCTAGGAGAAAAGGCTCACGCCCTCAAAACTCCATTCCTTTTAGTCCTTCCCTAAGAAGCTCGTGGCCTTCTCGACTTGGATCGACCGGACGCGCTGGGCCAGGAACACCTGGGCCATGCTGGCCATCTTCATTCTGGTTATGGCCAATGCCGTGGACATGGTGAGTTCTTGCTGTCCTTACTGAAGGGACACTCCCAGCTTGGTGGGGACAGGCCTCCACACTGGCCAGGAGGAGCAGCCTCTCAAACCGTTCCTCCACCACAGGGCACCGGTTTGGAGTGGCATTAGGTTCCTAAATCGATCACTCTGGCCAAAGGGGCTCTTCTCCCCAGGAAACCCGAGACCAACCCTCTTTCCCAGAGTTCAGGAGCCCAATGCCCTGTGCCAGGTGCCTTACATGCTCTGACTCAGTTTACATTCATCACTTAATCTTTATAACAACCCCAAAAGGTATTAAGTGTAGTTTCACATGAAGAACTAATGCTCAGAGAGGTTAATCCACTTGTTTTTAGTCACACAGCCAGTGACAGTCAAGATTGAAGGTCTAAATCCCAGTCCTGTGTTTTCCTCGTCCATATGTCACTACTTGCCCAAGGATTCATGAGCAGCAAGGGCGGTAACCCTCTTCCACTGTAGGAGGGGTCCCGGGCAGCCTCCATCCATCTGAGTATGGCCAGCCCTTCCTAGGGCTGGGGAAGACAGCTGCACAGAGCCCAGGTGGCTGGAGGCAGACATGGTCCTCTTCTCTGCTGTCCTTGATTTGTGTAAACTGCGGGTCCCAAGAAAGGGTGGCCAGATGCCTTCTCACGGAGAAGGGAAGGCAGTTGGAAGCCAAGATCTGTTGATTCAGAGCCACCAATCATCACGGAGAACTGGGTGCTGGGAGCTGTCATTCATGTTCACCTGTCAAGTCGTCACAGCTCCTGCCCATTTTGGTAGTATGTACTACACGGTCCCCAGATCTGGGCACCATGCAGGACACCTGGAGATCCTGTCACTCATGGAGGGTGAAAAAAACCTGGGAGTTAGGGAGACTTTCACACGCTAGAATCCCATGTTGAGAGCTCCCCCAGGGCCAGTCACAGGTAAAGGTTACAAAGAGTAGGCTTCATTGTCATGGACCCACTTTCTGCTGACCACCCCTGCTCAGCAGCAGGACCAGTGGCCAGCTCCAGACACGGCCGAGGCCTGGTGACTGGCCGCCCCAGTGGTCCCTCTTCAAAGGTGTGATGTGGGCAAGGGCACGTTGGACCTAAAACCTGAAGACTGGACACCCCCCTCTGGCCTTACCACTTGCTGACTGTGCTGCTCTGGGCGCATCTAGCCTGAGTTTTCTCTGCAGTGGTGGCGATACTAAAAACACTCAGGAGTTTTTGTGAACATCAGAAGGCACAGCCCTTAGGAGGAACGACTGGCGTTTGCATTGTCGTCCTTGGTGAATTTCCCCGCGCTCCTCGGCGTTTCTGAGGAGCTGCGGGAAGCAGCAGCTGAGCGCACACTGCCATGCCAGCCTTCTCTGACCAGTGTCCCCTGACCCTGTGTTCTCCCCACGGTCCTGGCCTCCAGCTGAGCTGCCTCCAGTCCTACACGGGACCCAACAACGGCACTGCAGGGATGGAGACGGAGGATGGCTGCACGGAGAACCCCAAGTATTACAACTATGTTGCCGTGCTGTCCCTCATCGCCACCATCATGCTAGTGCAGGTCAGCCACATGGTCAAGCTCACACTCATGCTGCTCATCACGGGCGCCGTGGCCGTCATCAACATCTATGCCTGGCGCCCCATCTTTGACGAATACGACCGCAGGCGTTTCCAGGAACACGAGTAAGATGAAGCTTGTCTGGGAATCTAGATTTTCTCCTTCCTTTTCCCCACCCCCAAGCCCCCATTTCAAAAGGGGTGGGCCCGCTCTGAGGTGGCTTTGCATCTCTAAGGCTCATCCAAGGGTTCATAGGGGAATCGGGGTTCATGGCTCCTCATAGATGTGCCACCGAATGGCTGTGAACCTGGGACAGGTCTTCCCATTTTGAAGAGTGGAAGATCTGGGCTGCCTCCTTGTGTGGCCGGGCACCGGCCCCTGGTACCCAGGTGGGGCCTGAGCGTGCTGCTGTCTGTCCAACAGCTTTCCCGTGGCCGCTTCAGAGAAGATGCAGATCCTCTCCTCCCCGGGGTTCAACGACACCGACAGGTAAGGTGACCGCTCTCGTCCCTGGTCTGCACTTTCAGCCCTTCTCGAGAGACAGGTGGCACTACAGGCCCAAGGGCCACGACCTCAGCCCTCGGAGGCATGCAGCTGGGCACATGGAAGCAGAGAAGCTAGGGTGTATTTCTGTAGGAGGGCTGGGCAGAGAGTGATTTAAACACAGACTCAGCCTCCCTGAGTCAGAGAGGGAAGCTCAGAGAGCAGCGGCAGTTTGTTTGGAGGGTGGGACAGAGAGCCTGGAATGAGGAGGGGACAGAAGTCAGATGGGCGGTGCCACACTTAACTGGCAGGCGGGAGGAGCAGAACAATGCGGAGAAAAGCACACTGCCTTCGATCCGGAAGACCTGGGTGCTTAATCCGAGGCAGTGGTTCTCTGGGAGCTGCAGGCAGCCCAGTTTCCTGCGTCCCAGTTTTAGCTCTTAAAGCGGATAGTGGACTAGAGGCTCTCCAAGGTCCTTTCTAGCTCTAAAATTTTAGAATTTCATGATTCAGCAACTTGAAACAAGTAGGTCTTAACAAAAGATTACTTAACAGAAGACGGAGAGAAGACTACTGAATGGGTCTGTCACAAAAGAAACCTAAGTAGCCACTAATAAATCAAGAACATTTAAGTAATCAGTAAATCCAAATGCAGACCATGACAAAAGACCATTCCTACCGGTGTGGCAGGAATCGAGTCTGATCGTACCAAGTACAGTGGTGACTCGTATACTCATCACTGGAGTATAGGTGGGCATGGCCATTTTAGAAGACCACTTGGAGTTATTTAAAGTAGACCCACATATACAGGTCTGTGCTGGGATGTATATGCCAGGATTCAAAATAGCACCCCCCCCCCCGCGCACACACAACAAAAACAATCCAAATTATATATGTAGTTAACGGGAACATAAATTGTGTGTTCACACAACGGACTACTACACAGTAATGAAAATAGTGAACTATAGCTCCACGCAAAGTACAAGGATGTGATCTAAGGAAGCTTCACTGCTCAGTGGGAATCCAGACTTGAGGCGAAGGCGCTTAAGTTTCTAGTGCCAGAGGTGACGGGAAAAAGCACAGCCTAGTTGGAAGAAAAGCCCTCTTAAGAGGGCAGCAAGGGCATTCTTTCGGTGGCATTACTCTCTGCCCCGCAGGCTGTCCCTGGTGCCTTCTAAGTACTCGATGACGGCCATGATCTTCGTCATGATGCTGAGCTTCTACTATTTCTCCCGCCACGTGAGTGCCCGCACACCCTCCGCTCCTGTTTCGCTTGCAACCTGTCAGGCCACCTGCATAGCAGGCCCAGTATCTGAGAGCCCAAGCTCCGAAAGGAATGCTGGTTTCTTTACCCAGTACGGCATGTGGCCCTGTCAAGCCACCACCTCTTTCCTGAGATACTGGCAAAACAGTTCTTGACCTCTTCCTGCTGACCTCTAGCCTGGATAAAATGTCTTCACCAGGCCAGGAGCTCATGGTCTTCTCTCTGGCTCTGGGAGTTACTAACAGACTGACCAAGAACCAGAAGAGAAGGACAAGGGTCTGAACTTTTTTGGTTAAAATGGGAGGTAGGGGGGCGGGTGAGCAGGCACCCGTATGAGACAGGATGATAGGGCCGGGATTTACTCTTCCACGTTAGCTCAAGTGCCACCCAGTGGTTTGCCAGGGGAAATACATCCTAAGCCACTTGGCCAGATGGGACCTGCTGGGAAAGGGACTCTCCTCCCTGGGCTAGGTGATCCCCACCACCCACAGGTCAGACCTGGAGCTCCAGTTAGGTCCCAGGGGGTTCCACACAGCCAGAGGCCCCTTCGAGCTCTGCTCTCACCACGGAGGCCAGGATCCTCACTGCAGCGGTGGGGTGGCCTTTCGGTCAGGTGGATTGGAATTTCTGGGTCGTCCTCATTTCCCATGGGGAACCTCTCAAGTTCCCACAGCTCATCTTCCCATCAAATGGCCAGCTCAGAGTGCATGCCTTGCTTGTGTCTACAGGTGGAAAAGCTGGCGCGGACCCTGTTCTTGTGGAAGATTGAGGTCCATGACCAGAAGGAACGTGTCTATGAGATGCGGCGCTGGAACGAGGCCTTGGTTACCAACATGTTGCCTGAACACGTGGCGCGCCATTTCCTGGGGTCCAAGAAGCGAGATGAGGTGAGTGGCCTGGAGCCGTGAGGCTGTGTCTTCACCTGGCTTTCTGCCAGGGAGCACCCCTGAACCCAGGCCTTCTCGTGGCGTGGTGGTGGCCCCTCTACAAACGTTGGGTTGTGAGCCACACTCCTCTGTGAGGCTCCATTTCGGCAGACGGAGCCTCCGTCAGCTGCGATCTCAGCAGAATGCTGCTCTCAGTTCACGTCCCAACTCCATCCCACCCTCTCACACTCGGTGCTGTTACAGGGAACAGAAAAGCTATTTCTGATCTAGTCAAACTTGTGATGAAAGCTATTTTCTAATAATGCAAAGTTGGGATAACCCAGGAGGAAGTATGTCCAAAAAGCTGAGTGACCTCTCATGGGTGTGGAAGATAAATTCATTTCCATAGCACATTATTTAATCTGCTTCTTTGAGCACTGTGGCCCTGCCTGTTTTTAGGAGCTGTACAGCCAGTCTTACGATGAGATTGGAGTCATGTTCGCCTCCCTGCCCAACTTTGCTGACTTCTACACAGAGGAGAGCATCAATAATGGCGGCATTGAGTGTCTGCGCTTCCTCAATGAGATCATCTCGGATTTTGACTCTGTGAGTGTGCATCTGCCTCCTGCCACAAAGCCGGCTGGTTCCAAATGATACCTCAGAACAGGCTGCAGCAGCCAGAAGTTGGAGCTGCTCTGGTTGGCCAGTTTCCCACATGAGCCCCGTCTACAATGCACGGGCTTCTGTGCCATCTATAAATGCGGCTTCTGGGGGCGTGAGACAGGAGCTGGGAAATTACCTGCAAGTTCACAGGATGAAGGGTGGCCAAAACAAGGTCCAGGGTCCCTCTGATTCCCCCTACCTCCAAGTTCAGATTCATTAAATGCTGAGTTACTTGTACATCAAAGGAAATGCTTTTACCTACATGTTCAACCACCACCCTAGGAGACTGGCAGTTTTACCCCGATGTTATGGTTGTAGAAAAACTGAGGCTCAGGAACACTGCTCAAGGTCATGTGGCAGATAAATGGCAGAGTAAAGCTTTTATATGAAAGCATCTCAGATATTTTGCAGGTCATTGTAAACAGACAAATCTGTCATGTAGTTGGCTTATTCATCTCAATTGCTGACAGTTTTTCTTAATACTGGCTTTAGCTTCTAGACAATCCCAAATTCCGGATCATCACCAAGATTAAAACCATCGGCAGTACCTATATGGCAGCTTCAGGAGTCACCCCAGATGTCAACACCAACGGCTTCACCAGCTCCAACAAGGTACTCAACCAGCTCAGTGGCCAGAGAGCAGATGGGGCTCTGCCTCTTGAGGCGAGAGGCAGCCCAGGCCAAGCACACGGGGAACCAGAACTTACGGGAGTAGCTAACGTTAAGCACTGCTGCACAGAGGCACTTTGCACTAGTACAGACACCACTGGGACCGAGCAGTGTCGGGTCCCTAAGACAGTGTACACACTGCAGCCGCTGCTGTTCCTCGGCCTGGCACACGGTGCCATGGGAGTGCGGCCACGCTCCCTTCGGTACTTTCCTGAGGACAGGGCAGCAGGACCATCTACACAACTGTGCTGCAGTGAACACATCCGGACTGGGGATGTGGTTTTGTTAAGTCAGACTCGTGAAGTGAGCTCTGTGTACCTACCAGAGGGAGAAGAAATGACCTGTGGGGGCCCTGGTCTCAAGGGCTGTTCTTAAAACCTCATCACCCTGCTTTATCTTACAACTGCCGTCTCCTTTTTATGGATGAGGTCAAAGAGACATGCCTAACTCTCAGGGCTTACAATCTAGTTGAGGAATCAAAACAAAGGACAACTGTCCCAAGTTTCAAGACCAGGTTCAGACAAGATGATGAGACATGGCTCCTGAGCAGACAGACACACAGGAGGCGGAAGAGCTGGGTAGGATTTGTCCTCCCCACCACCACTGCCCAGTCTCTGTCACAGTGATGAGTGGGTGTTAAGAGGGCGCAGACTCCTTTGTGGAAAAAGTAAAGAATAGGCCCTAACCACCAAGTGAAGCGACTGCCCTGCAGACCGTTCAGGAAAGGTAAGGAGGCTGCTATGGTTGTGGGCCCAGACTGGCCCCTGATGCCTTCGTGGCTGCTCTCTGGCACAGGAGGAGAAGTCAGACAAGGAGCGCTGGCAGCACCTGGCTGACCTGGCTGACTTTGCACTGGCCATGAAGGACACACTCACCAACATCAACAACCAGTCCTTCAACAACTTCATGCTGCGCATAGGTGAGGCTCTGACTGCATTGATACAGGGGGTACAGAGTCAGCAGGAGGGAGTGGCCTGGAGGCATTTAGGTTGGTGAGGGTCATGTGCTCATAGAGCTGGAAGGCACCTTAAGGATCTTTGGTCCACGCTGTTCTAGGTGAGCAGACTGAAAAGCTGGCTGACAGAATTATGGTCAGCTGTGCCTGCCCCAGTGTCTCCAATGATAGCTTCCTCCTGAGTCTGGCTGGGAAGTGTGCTGTCTACCTAGGAAATCTACACCCACTGAGGGCTTTGCTCACCTCTTCCCAGCCTCTTAGGAATCAGTCACCTGCTACTTACTACTGGGAATTGGCAGAGGTAGAGGGGAGGTTCCTAATTTCTGATGAGGTTACAGGAGACAAAGTACCAGATCTGTGTTAGGAACTGGCAACTTCTGTGCTAAGCTAATCAGTATGTTGGGTGTAGCTGACAATTTGCTGAGCACATGAAGGCAGGGTAAATAGATCTGAATTCTGCCCTCCAGTACCTTAGAGAGACAGGCTTAATGACGAACATGTTACGTAATCAGACTTATGGTAGGGATGGGGTGACACAGTCTGAGGGGCTGGGAGCTTCCTCTGTAGGTGCAGGCTGGTGCGCGGCTGCACTGACCTTCACACATCTGCCCTAGGCATGAACAAAGGAGGGGTCCTGGCTGGAGTCATTGGAGCCCGGAAACCACACTATGACATCTGGGGCAACACAGTCAACGTAGCCAGCAGGATGGAGTCCACAGGGGTCATGGGCAACATTCAGGTCTGTGCCACGACAGCTGTGCTCGGACACAGGAGCTGGGAACAAAATGCAAGCAGTGTGCGTTCTGCCACACACCGTGTCCTCCTTAAAGAGTGTGGCAGTGCCATGAGGCGAAGGGCAAGAGTGGGAAAGGTGCCTCCATGGCCAAATGCAGAAGGGAGAAGAAAAACCTCGATCCTGTTTGCAAATCGTGACGTCAGTTCTGTGTGCTAATACCCTGCTTCCCGGTCTGAGCTTTTCTGGTGCCTTGTGCCTGCAGCAGCTCCCACTGTAGCCACCCTGCCCGTGGCGGATGGGCCCGGCAGGAAAGCCCCACGGAAGGGCATAGGCAGGGAATAGGAGTTTCCAACGGTGCTGCTGCTGCAGAGTCCACTGCTCGCCCTTCAGAATGACTACTTTGGGGGGAGGGTCCCAGAAAAGCACCCTGGGTTCTGCTGCTCCCTGGGAGGTCGGGAGGAGGGTGCTACAGGAAGGGTGGTACTGCGCATGGGTGCCATCTGGGCAGCCTCGGTCCAGGGTTGCTCTGACCCCAAGCTTTTGTACTGTGTTCTCCCTCTGTAGGTGGTGGAAGAAACACAAGCCATCCTTCGAGAGTACGGCTTCCGCTTTGTGAGGCGAGGGCCCATCTTTGTGAAGGGGAAGGGGGAGCTGCTCACCTTCTTCTTGAAGGGGCGCGACAAGGCAGCCGCGCTCCCGAACGGCTCCTCTGTGACTCTCCCCCACCAGGTGGTGGACAACCCCTGAACAGCACCTTGCCCCACAGTGGTCCAAATGGGAAGGGAATGTATGTTTTGGAATCAAGGGCCTTGGAGAAGGACAAACTACCAAGTCCCAACATTCCCAAACTGTTGACATGCACACTCATGTAGACATTAGATTTAAAATGTCCTCCAGCCTTTTGCTCAGGACCCGCGGGCTCTGAGGGCAGCCACACCACCCTCGGCGAGTCTTCGGCCTCCCGAGAGCACGAGGGTCTCAGGCGCAGTGCCGGTGCGAGGATTCCAGGGCCCTGGTTCTGACCAGCCCTCCTTTCCCACCGAGGCCATGGCCACTGTGAGCAGCAGAGTACCAGAGTGGGCCAACTTGCCTTTGCCGCTGGGGGCGTGGACGGGGAGGCTCAGCTTAAGATGAGGGCTTGGCAGGTGGGACTGCTGCGCTGGCGAACGTCAGCTGCCAGTTGTAACTTGAAAGCAGTGCTTTTTATTCTGAAGTGAGCGCAGGCTGGAGACCAGCTTGTCTCCAGATGGTCCAGGTGAGGTGACAGGGTCCGTGTTCCGACAATCTTGAAGGGGCCTGGAACCCCTGTCACCTTAGTCACAAGAGCAGAAAGTGCAATACTTCCTTTTACCTGGCGGGAGGGAGGGAAAGGGAATTTATTTGAGAGAAAAACATATCAACAGATCTTCTACATTTATATTTGTAACTTTCTGTTAAAACACTTTCCAATACTGCCTTGCCTTTGAGCTCTTGCTGCATTTGCCTTTGCTACCGCTTAAAAGAGAATTTACAGGTATTGATAAAGACCAAGACTTTTATTAAAAGCTTTCTTCAACTTGAATGTGGTCATTGTGGGAACCCTGTTACTCCCCCTCCTCTGAGAAGCGCCTGCTGACTCACCACTGGTCCTGGCCATGTGCCAGGAAGACACAGGAGCCTGAACCAAGACCTCTTGTTCATTCTCCAGCTGCTTTCTTCTAAATGGTGGTCCTAGCTGGCTTTACCATTCCCCTGTGCTCCCCCCAGAGTTAGCTGGAGCTCCCACACTTCCAAGGTTACTTCCTGGTCACCAGGTGTAGAAAGTGGCCATTTTAGAGAGTGAAGCCTGAATACAACTCTGTGTCTTGGGCAGTCATGACTCCTACTTGTGACTGGCAAAAGGGGGACAGGAACTGAAATGGCATGACCTGGCCAGCCAGACAGGTCTGGGTTGAGCCCACACATCTCCCCTCAGCCGAGGAAAGGGCCAGCAGATCCTTGGCCTACAGCTGCAAGAGACCAAGGAGGGAAGGCCCGCTTCTCCATGCAATGACTGAGTTAGGAGCAGACTTCTGACCGTGCTTTTTTATAGCTGACTTAAAACTGCCAGCTCTCTACTGAGATGTTTCAGGAAACAAAATATGAGAGACAAAGAACCCTGATTATTTTATCCACAGTGCTTTCTCCACACCAGTCTTCAAAGGCAGGGTCTACAATATACTGCTCCAAACACACTTCCCTTCTTAACTATTTAATTCATCTCATATGAACTAAGCATGCTAAAAACTTTGTTTTCAAATGTCTCAATAGGAAAATGAGGTGGAGTTAAGCTTTTATAAAAGGCAGAAGTACTTTTTAGTTGAATGGTACATAGCCCTCTCACAAATGACTTCTGCTGCCCTACAACCCAGTCTGATTTTTAGCTAAAACGTATGGTTAAGTCACCATCTCCAAGAACAGATGATCCTGAGCATTTAGCAAGCCACCAGGAGGGAGAACTGTCAAATGCCAATTTCTGTGACCTCAGACTTGCCTGAGGACTTCATTGTCCTGATGAGGGGGGTGTCTGTGTTCATTACAAGGATGTCCCCAGGCAAGGAGTCAGCCCTTCAGTGGTTGTTTACTCACCTTTGATGTGTTCTTAATGAAAAAAACCTAGTAGACCACACTCAAATCCAACCTTTCTTCTCTTCTTGCAAACAAAGCAAACACTTGATGTAGGGGCTTAGTACAGAGTAGGTGTTCATGGCTGGCTCGCTGTTCCTCCCACGAGGGGGAGGAGTCCATCCCTAAAAAAGAAAGACTGTCAATCTCGCCTAGTGCAATTGGGAAAGTCAGAACCTGGATCACTGATATTCTGGACTCAGGTAACTTTTTTTGGTCTGGAGCCAAGAGGCTGGCCCTTACTAGACCAATTTTGAGACCTGGAACTTAGAACAGACTGCTCAGAGAAATAAAAAACTATGGTATAAAACCTGTAGCAGCTTCAAAATTCCTGCCTCCTAACAACATTTTATGCTACTTTTCATGATTACCCATGTCACACTACTATGGTATACTTCACTGAAACAGGTCACAGAAAAGTCTCAGCCAGCTCGGAAAAGTTTCCACTGAGAGGCATCTCTAGAGCACTCGGTGTACACCCACTTGCCACGTCCATTTTGGCTTTGGAGTGAAATGAGCCTTCTGGCTCTTCACCACGGCGACCTGTGACTCAGCCTCATTAGCTGTCTCTTCAAGAGCGGTCTCCAACGAAAACAAATTAGGAGCTGAAAGAACACTGGCTGGGTTGGAAGGACCAAAAGAGGGAAAACTATGATGATTGTTTACTATTTACAGAGAAGAGAGAAAACTGGTAGAAACAGAGAAAATGGTATTTTACTTTGTATTTTTGTGTTTATCATACGTAAAAAAGAAGAAAGTATCCCAAAAGGTACAACGGATGCACTGTACCTATTTCACCCTGTTTCACTCAACCCGAGTGACCCAGAGCCCACTACATTACCTTCTCCACTGTGGCATCCCTCCCCTTCCTTACCTTGATAAGTAACGGTGACATCAGTCGGGAGGGTTACTGTGAGGTCCTTGTAGAGCAGTCTGGCACAGAACGGGAAGGCCTGGCCCCTCGGCTCCGCTTTGTAAGTAAATGACAGTAGATTGCACAGTGAGTTTCTCTGCAAAGGTCCTGCCAGAAAGGCTGCGAAGTCACTCTAATGGAGGTGGGGATCAAAACAGACACGGGCACAGAATTATGGCTCCAAAAGCAGGGAGTGGCTGTGGCACTTCCAACACTGTCCACAAAAATAGGGCCCCATTAATTGTTAGTTAAATTCCAGAGAAAGAACAGAGAAAGGCCCGAAAAGAGAACTAGTGATAGAGATCTGTAAGGTAACTAAGAGTCAGCACCGCCTACCCATGGGAAGCACTAAGTAAGTACACGGCCCGGGTTTGGGGATGCAGGGCAAATACTGTTTCTGCCACGAATTTCGATGACTTCACATACACGGCTGAGTTGCTCTGTTTCTGCACACACATATCAATTTATCTAAATGACAACCAGGAGCTACAGCGCCATTGCAAATGTCTAGAGGGGGAAACTCTAAGCTTGTAAGAGTCAATTATTGCTCATTGCATTCATTACTGTCTCCCCTCCACCTGCCTTCAACACTACCTCAACTGCAACCCTAGTTGTTGCAGGGTAGGGTAGAAGGTAGGGTAGAATTTAGGCAAAGCTGCGTAGTATTCCTCTGTGATATTTCAGATTATTCTGCTTTGCATCTATACCCTAGTTTAGCAAGGCACTTGGTACACAATAGGTTTTCTATCGATTCCAACTGAGAAGTGTAGCAACTATACTCTACCACTTTGTGATGGGAAGAAGGGGTCAAACATAAAATCCTGAGGTCCACCACTGGGGGGTGAATAATCCCTTAACCAGTATTCTTGCTTCAGTGTCATCTACAGTTTCAATAGGGAAAGAAAAGAGTGGAAATACAGCTTGTACACAGTAAGTATTAGAAGGATAACGAACAGACCTCTGACCCAGTTATGAGACATTATAAAATACAAAAGAAAACTCGACCTCCCCCGGCCTCCCGTTTCCCTTTTAAGCCTACCCTAGGCTCATCAAAGGCTATGTAAGGTCCCAGACAGGCACCTGAAGTCGATCTGCCTGGTACTTCCTCCCCGAGTAAGCATTCAGGTGTTCGCAGAGACTGAACAGGAAGTGCTGAATATTAGTCTGTAAGTATTTTGCAGATATCTCCTCCAGGGGGATGAAGGCTGGAATTGAATGGTGATGTATCCGAAGTGGTTTCTGGATGACAAGGTCCACGAAGTAGGAATCCAGCAGGTTCCCCTCAAAAGCAGTCTGGATGCAAACGCAGACGCCCTGGCTCGTCAGTTTCCCACTGAGCCCTGAGACAGACCAGACGGCCCTCAGCATGTCAGGCAACATCGCGCGTCCCAGGCACTGCAGTGCTGCCTAGTACATCAAGGAGGCACTAGAGCAAATGCGTATCAGTCTTTCAACACTAGCTCACTTTGAGTTTGAGTTGTTAAAGCCATGGAATGGTGGAAAAGAAAGAATATCTAAATATCAAATTACTGAGGAAAAGATTTTGGAATTTTCAACGTACCTACTCTTTTTTTCTGAGTGTCAAATAATTCATGGTAGACCCCAGTTCTTCCCACAATCCTCTCGTAGCATAGATAACAGGGAGAATAAATCCCCATTTTAATGGTGAAACAGAGAATTAAGGTATTCAAAACTACCTGACCAGTGGCATAAAGCAAGCCAGCAGTAAAGAAAGTTGTAGTACAGGATCCGGCACACGTTGAATAGCGAAAAAGAATAGTCTAAACCAGCTACCCATCAATCTGTTGCATGAAGAGGCCAATACTGTAGGTAAAGATGCCCACAAACAGCATGTACACTGCAGGGGCAAAACCAATGGTGGAGAAATAAGTCCAGGACTAGTAATTTGTCTACCAAACTCACTCAGTAGAGACCGGAAACCCAGGCTGAAACAGGTCAGGGAAACAGTATACCTGTGAAACGATACGCTTGCAGAATGGCTTTAATGTCTTCCCGTTTTCTTTCCAAAACTTGCTCGCTGACCTGCAGTGTCTGGTCAGGTTCTCCACTGCCTTCCACCTGCGAGACAGACAGGAAGTCAAGGTGGGTCCAGAGGGGCGTGATGCGCCGTCTCCGCCCGTGCCCGCAGCCTGGGTAAGCGGATGCAGAGCATCCCGAACGAGTGTGGAAGGGCGACAGCGGTCCACAGCTGCTGCAAAGCCACAGTCTGGGAGGAATCTCGCAGGTCACGGTGCTAGGAAGCAGAAGCAGAAGCTGTGCTGACCCGAGTGCTGTGAGAGGCGAAAGGGGTGTGATCCAAGTCTAGTCTGAGCGCAGGGTGAGTGACGCCGCTGTGAAGGGCAAGGCTAGAAAGCTGGTTTGGGTGGGGTCGCGCCAGGAGGAGAAGACTGACCCGAAGACGTGGCCCTTGGAGCCACGGCCCAGCGGGTGGTCTCAGACCAACTCTGCCTCTGAGAACCGTCCGTGCCAGTAAGCAACCATACCAGCAAGCAGACAGCTGGACCTGTCCCCAGGACACAGCCAAACGTTTTCAGCTGAGGGCCCTAAAGGAAAGGACAGCACCCCCGGAGCAAGGGCGAACCAAAACGAGACCACCTCACTGGGTTCAGGCGATTTCCCCAAAACCTGAAGTTCCCTCTGGAGGAAGAGATCACAATACAGAATCCCTATTTTTTTTAATATACAATACTTATCATTGAATAAAAATATTTTTTTTACCAGGTACATAAAGAAAGAAAAACAGATGACTGAAAACCAAGGAAAAAGACAAAAGAAAAAGATCTAAGGGGATTCAACCCTCTGAGTTACCAGGCAGGTGAAAATACATGAAATGATACCAAAAGTCAGAATCGATACTGAAGAATCTATAAAAATGAGTCAGATGGAAGCCCTAGAACCAAAAAAATATAGTACTAAAACAGAAATTACATACTGATATATTTTCATATCCAGATTAAATCCCAGAGACAGAAATTAGTGAAGGCACAGGTCACAGCAACTCCCCGCCCATCCCTCCCTACACACGAGCAACTCCACACGAAGAGCCCCAGACAGAGGAAGAGGACGATGAAAATGCATTATTTGAAAGCATACTGGCCAAGTTTTCCAAAGTAAATGAAAAACATGAAGCAAGTAATTTAAGAAGCTCTACAAACACTAAGTAGGCTGAAGAAAGAAAGCCATTCCTAGCCCCATTATGATATAAAATTGCTAAAACCCAGAAACAGACAGAAGCTTAAAAACAGAGGAAAAAGACACATATTCAAACAATAACATACCTGACAGGAGCTACAGAGGTAGAGACAATGGAATGCTGTATCTAAAGTATGAAAGAAAATAACTTCCAATCTGTAACTATTACCTAGCAAAAAATATTCTTCAAAAACTGGAAAACGTAAGGACAGGACAATAAGGGTGTTTTCAAACAAACAAAAACAGAATTTATTGCCAGCAGGCTTACAATAAAAGAAGTACCAAACAAGCTACTTACGCTGAGGGAAGACAATCCCAGACGGAAATCTGGAAGTGCAGGACGTAATAAAAAGCACTGAAAAGGGCAACTATGTGTACACCCAGAGCCAGTGCAAACACCGAAGCTGTCGCCAAGAGTTGCAGCAGCTGCAGAATTAAACATATGACAATACTAGTGTGGTAGGTGTGTGTATGAGAGAAAAGTCAAAGTGTTAGAAGGTTTTGTATTGTCCAGAAAGTTGTAAAAGTACTTTCTGGATAATACTGGAATAACTGGAAGTACGCTCGAGTAAGAAAAAAAGTTCATGTTTTCTCTAGGATAACCACTGCAAGAATAAGGCAAGAATGTATATTTAATAAGGTAATGGGGGAGTAGCATAATAAAGAAATAAAAGGACCAATCCAAACGATGACAAGACAGGAGAAAAGAGAAACAGAGTAAGACATGACAGTGACAGGGTAGACTGAGATACAATGTATCAGTAATCACATTAAAAGTGCACAGACTAAATACTCCAACTAAAAGACAGACTGTCAGGCTGGATTTAAAATACCTAACTGTATGCTACTTGCAAGAGGAAGTACACCTTAAGTGGAAAGAAAAAAGTTTACCACGCAAACTCTAAACAAAAAGAGCTGTCGTAGTTATACTAATATTTGACAGAGTTGGCTTTGACACAAAAAGTTTAACTAAAATAAAAAGGAACATTTCATAATTACGAAAGGTTTACTCAGCCAAGAAGACATAATAAAATTTGTTCGCACCCAGAGTGCGGCACAGACACAACCAAAGGGAAACCATGCACGAGCCTGACACACGCATCCCAGTAACTGGTGAAACAAGCGGTCGCGCACCACACGGTGATGTCCCAGCCAGTGACAGCCAACACGCAGGGCGATGGCCTCGGAAGGTCAGAATGGAGCCACCGAAGACTTCCCACTGCCTGGTGACATCACAGCTATCATAGTGTCGGCGTGCAGTACGCCACGCCCGTGTTTGTGGGGGGACTGCTGCCAACAAAGCTGTTTCCATTACAGAAAAGTATAGCACATAAAATCATGCACGTCTGTAATCCGTGATGAGAGTAAAGGACAGTTGCTGGTTTGTGCACTAACTACCTACAATTTCCACCATTATTTTAGAAAGTACAGTTTCTACTTATTAAAAAAAACTGCTGTAGAATAGCAGCTGTTAGCCCCGACAGCAACGCCACACATCCTGAGTTCACTGTTATCTCTTTTTAAAACACTTTTTGCAACTTTGATATATATGACTCACATTCCATATAATTTACCATTTTAAAGTATACAATTCGGTACCTTTTAGTACATCCGGAGTTGTGTATCCACCACCGCTATCAAATTTTTGAACATTTTCATTATATGAAAAGAATCTCCACACCCCTGGTCATTCCCCAAACCTCAGCCCTATGTAACCACTCATCTGCGTTCTACTTCTTCAGATTTGCTTAGACTGGGCATTTCATGTAAAAGGAATCACACGACATGTGGTCCTTTGTGACCGGCTTCTTGGACTTACTGTTTTCAAGGCTAACCATGTTAGAGCATGTATCAATACTTCATTCTTCTTATTGCCCAGTCATATTCCACTGGATGGATACATGACATACCACGTCTCTTAACTGCACCATTTCCTCTTGTGTTTGATTTAATCTCATGTTGTTTTATAAATTTAGCGTAGGCTAAGTGTAGTGTTTCAGAAGTCTACAGTAGAATACAGTAACGTCCCCGGCTTTTACTCCCTCACCACGGACTCACCCAGAGCAACTTCCAGGCCTGCAAGCTCCATTCACGGTCAAGCACTATATACAGGTACACCACTTTTTATCTTTTATACTGTATTTTTACTGTATCTTTTCTGTGTTTAGATACATTTAAATACACAAATACCACTGTGTGACAAGTGCCTACAGCATTCAGTGCAGTGATGTGCTGTACAGTAAGCTGCACCACGGAGCCCGGGTGTGTGGTGGGCGACACCACCCAGGTTTGTGTGGTGTCCTCTGCCATGCTGCCACAACGATGAAATCACCTAACGAGGCATTTCTCAGAACATGTCCCGTTTTAAGCGGTTTATGACTGCAGACGAGCGAGTCGGCGAGGACATGAAACACTTAAACTCCACCACGAATGCACTGGGTGTACCTGACACGTGCACCACCCGGTACCCAACACGCAAAACCCTCCCTCTCACTCCATACGTGCAATCTACTCCAGATGGAGTATTGTTCTAAAAAGTTTTTAGAAATGATACAAAATATCTTCACGATCTTTAAGTTAGGCAAAAATTCATTAAAGGAAACAAGAATAGTAAGCATAAAACTAGATTCCTAAATCAAACCTTATTAAAATGAAGACTGTTTTCACAAGACGCCACCCGAGAGGGAAAGGGCAAGCCACGGTGTGGGAGATCTGTAACACCTACACCCAACAGAGAACTCTCATCCAAAGTATGTGAAGAACTCTACACTTTAATAACGAGAGATGGACAACCCAATGAAACGTTTGCAAAGCCTTGAAAAGCATGCTTTATAACACAGGACTCTGCAGTGTCTGAAATGGGTAAGTTATTAACATCATCCCTTACCAGGCAAACGTGAATTAATCCACAATGAGATGCTGTTACACTCCCGCTGGAATGTTAGATTTTTTAAACCGACGGTATCAGGTATAGAAAGAGATGTAATAAAACAATGGAACTCTTACACACCGTTGCTGGGAACACAAAATTGGTGCAATCACATTCAAAAACTGTTTGGCATTATTTACTAAAGCCAATCCATATACCTGTGACCCAGCAATTCTACTGAATTCATCTGGCAGAACAGCATATTTTTACACAAAAACGCAGGAACACGACTGTTCACAGCAGCATTATTCTTATTGACACCAAAGTGAAACAGCCCCAATAACCCGAATGTCATAAACAGTCCGACAGGTATACAAACTGTGGAATATTCATAAAACAGTATCACTATGCAGCAATAAAGGAAGAATGACCTCTGCGTCAACAACACGGATGAAACCTCAGACATAACATTCAGCCAAAGAAACCAGAGTTTTACACTTTCACCATTTATACGAAGTTTAAAAGCAAGTAAAACCAAGGTATGACAACAGAAATGGAAAGACTGGCTACTTGAGGGAAATGACTGGCAGGTGCAAGAATGACCTCTAGGCACGGAGGGCATTCCCTACTTCCATCTGTGTGGTGCAGGTGCGTGCACTTTGTAAAAGGTTCTGCACTTTATACAGATTTACGTGTATTTTACTTTAATAAAAGGGTGAAGGCGAGGAGGGAAAGGGAGAGAGAAGTAAAGTGGGGAGTGGAAGAGAGGCGAGACAGTGGGGGGGGAGGGGGAAACAAAGGCCCATATCCCACAGGCAGGGAATAGTTAACGGAAGGGTTTTGAGCAAGAAACCGCTGCAGTGGTTTACGAAAGCATTTTCTTGGCTGTGCAGGATTTACTGGGAAGGTGCACATACGGGAAGAGAACCAACTAGCAGACTGGCATCCAAACCACCTGGTAAATATTCAGGGGCGGTGACGTCCTAGGCTTTCACCTCTTAGCACTGATACTTGAGATGTGGATAGTACTTGAGCTGGTACAACAGAGTGGGGAAGGAAGCACAGAGACCGTCTAGAGGAAAACCTGACAGACCTGGGCTAGACAGAAAACTCAAACCTCAAGTTTACTGTGAAGTTTCAAGCCTGGGTAACAGAAAACTGACATTAATGACAAAGTACCAATGGCTCGCCCTGACCAGGTAGCTCAACTGATTAGAGATCCTCCCAACGTGCCAAGTTTGTAGGTTCGCTCCCCAGTCAGGGCACATACAAGAATCAACAAATGAAAACATAAGTGGGACAACCAATCTATAGCTCTGTCTCTGAAATCAATTGATTAAAAAATGTACCAATGCCTCAAGTCAGGCTCAGATCGAGGTAACAGGTTCCTGTCTGAAGGCAGGTGAAGAGACTATTTATTATGAAGAACTTGCCTGGGCCGTCGGGAATGCCTGACAACTGTTGGCTAATATTGATGTCAGCTGAGACTCTACAGGTTTGATGAGGGATCAAGGACTGAAATCGATGCAGTAGGATCACAGGTAAAACCCGTCAAGCCAAGCGGCAAATTCCCGGATCACCTGCTCCAGACCCCAGCAAAGCTGCCGTCAACCGGCCCTCTACTCACCCTGGCCCGACGCTGCTGCACCTCAGCCCTCAGCCTGGCCCGACGCTGCTGCACTTCAGCCCTCAGCCTATCGCGCAGGCTTCTCAGCAGGTGGATCTTTCTTCCCAGAGTGCTTTCCACTGCCTGTACACCCTGTGGCTCTTCAAATTTTTTCCGGGATCTAGTTTCTAGTCTTTCCAAGTGAGCTAGAACACCTGAAGAAAGTAAAAAGAGAATCTGTCAAGAAACCAAGGATTTCTAACTCTGGCCACAGACAGCATTTCAGGGCCCTAATTTACAAAACCCGAAGAGCTGACAAGAGAAATCAAAGATCAGCAACCTCTCAGCCAACTGAGAGGTACAAGTGGTTCCTAACCAGGACAACGTCAAACACAACATTATCTGGATAGAGCTGATCTTGGCTACCCATGATAACCCAGAGGAAACACGCACTCACCAAATTCACCGACTCTCTCAGAAATGTTTTTAAAATGTAGAATTGGTTTTAATGCATGTTTTCCTGAAGTGCTAATGCATAATTCTGTGAAGCTCTGAAAAAGTACTAGTATAGGACTATGCGGACACGAACTAAAGGTAGTGTCCACAAACATTACTGGGTGTTAGAGCGGAAACACGCTCACCACCGGACAGAATCTTGGAGGTAAATTTCTATTTCCTACAGACTAAGGCACAATATAGGTGCATCTCATTCTACTGTGTTTCACAGATGTTGCATTTCTGTTTTTGTTTTTTAAACAAACTAAAGGCAACAACCCCGACCGGGGTAAAAAAAAAAATCACAACTCGCTTTATTGCAGTGGTCGGGAACTGAACTGGCAGCATCCCTGAGGGATGTCGGCTCAGTAAGGGTCATATTTTCATAAGGCTAATCAACTCTTAATAAAGCGTTTGCTGAGCACTTCCTACATAGTAACACACTTGTGCTACATGATTTACTTGCATAGCATGTGAAGAATAAAAGCATTTATCAACTATTTCCTATTCATAAGGTGTGTATTCAATGCTTTAACTGAGAAGCAGGAAAAACATGGCTTATCTAATTCCCACAGCCACCACCACAATTCCCCTCCCTTTCCAGGTGAAAAAACTGAAGCAGAGAAAGGTAAACAGCTGGCCCAAGACCACAGTATGTATATTGGCAGAGCTAGCACTCAAACCCAGACCTAACCAACTGCCAAAGCCATGGCCTGGCACTCTCACAGGAGTTGGGCATAAAAGGCCCCCCAAAAACCCTGGGAAGAGAGAAAGACACCTGTAGCTCTGAACAGAAACACTGAGCATATTATGCACTCAAGTTATTACTTTAAAAAGGGGCGGGAGCCTAGAAATATGTTAAGTAATTTTTCCCTAATGCTCTTAGCTCACAGGCCCTTTAAGTTCAATACAGGCACGTCTCCAGGTGGTACCGGTTCAGTTCCAGACCGCGGCAATAAAGTGAGTCCTAACTTTTGGCAGGTGGAGGGTTTTGCCTTCAGTTTGTAAAACCCGCAACACCTGTGAGGCGCAATGGGGCTATGCTGGTATTAGTTCCCTTCACTATTCTCCCCAAAAGGACAGATCGCACAACAGTTCGAGGAGGAAAGGGGTCTTTCGACCTGGCACCTTTGAGCAGCAGTAGTAAAGGGCTGGTAAAGACAACTATTTGAATACCTCCTTTGGACTCGCCCTCCTGACTTAAAGCATTCGCTGGGTCCATCTCCTCCTCGGATTCTCAAGAGCCTTCCTAGGAAGCTGCGCAGGCACCTAGATTTCCTTGCTGGCAAAAGAAAAAATGGCAAGGAAGTGACATTGAGACAAGCCCAGACGGTAGGGCACGTAACTCACTCAACACCCCAAGTGGCACCGCCAGGACTCCTCTTACCAAACCCGCCCTTTCCCGGGCGGTGTCCACGTCCCCCTGGCCGGGCCTGCGTGCTGCCCAAGGCACGGCCCCACCGGTTCGGCCGAGTTGCCTTCCAAACGGAAGGAGCTGTGGAAGGGTGTTTAGCCTTCCACCCTGGTCACCGTCCCGACCCTCACTGCGTGTGATTTCCCCTGACCTCCTCTCCTCTCGCTCACCCAGTACAGGGACGAAAGTTCCCGCGGTTCTCGAGTTCAAACCCCAGCCAATCGGACCCAGCATGCTTTGCGCACCCACCATACAAAACATGGCCGAGCGCAGGGCTCCTCCCTGATCCCGGCATGCACCGGGGAATAGGCCGGGTCTTAGCGCTGGGTAGGAAGATGGCGGCAACTGGCGCAGAGCCGCAGATCTTGGTACAATACTTGGTGTTACGAAAGGACCTATCGCAGGCTCCGTTCTCCTGGCCAGCGGGCGCACTGGTAGCGCAGGCCTGTCACGCAGCCACTGCGGCCTTGCACACTCACCGCGATCATCCTCACACTGTTGCTTATCTCCAGGAGCTGGAGCGCATGCGCAAGGTGGTGCTTGAGGTGAGGCGCTGGACCTAGGGGGCGGGGAGCTCTGGACGTCGGAGCGGAGGTGGGTGTGGTCTTAAGTCCGCTGGCCGGGCTTCGGGGCGTTAGTGGGGAAGACTTTTTTTTTTTTAATTGGCGGGGCCGCGGGGAGGGGAGGAGGAGTCTTTAGCATCTAGATTTTGGAAGCGGTTCTGGGGGCACTTGAACTACTGCACAGAGAGACTCTTCCCTTGGCTGAGGGGTGCCTGACTGTGACAAGTGGACATTGGGTTCGTTTTTACTGCTTTCTGCCCCCCTCTGGTCTCACCTGCGTCCCTCTAAGTAAATACCTGTGTGGGAGGAGGCCGGTGGAACGAAACCCGCCTTTCTACCTGTGCACTGGGCCGGCCTTTCAGTGCCCCGCGGAGAGTGGGGTTCCTCCCCATTCCCGCAAAACCGATCTGGGATAAGGACACGGGATTCCTTGTTGGTGGTGAAGTCAAACCGAAGCATTTATCTGGGCACGACGCCAAATTATTTGAAAACAAATGTGAACCGCAAATTGAACGTATCATCCCAAACACCAGGAGTGTGAAATAACCGTAAGGTCATCTTTGCAGATGGCCAAACAGATCTTATCCTTACCCTTACCCTTAGTAATTTCTGCTCTAGAAATGTTGCTAAGAAAGTAATCGGGTGCATTCAAAGAGCATTGTACAAGGACTATTCATAGGAGCACTTTATAATGGTAAAAACTGTGGAAATCACTAAATTTACAATACTAGGGATTGGTTAACTTATGTCCTTACAATGGATTGTGAAACTAGTGTAAATCACTTCTGGAGCATATTTAGTTGGATGGAAAAGTGCTCATGATATGATGCTAAAGGGAGCATCACATCATGATCCAAATTTTGAAAGAAAAACTAAGGAAATACATCTGAATATTAAGCTGCAAGTGGTGGGATTTTGGTTATTTCCCAGTGCTTCTATTTTTATTTTCTGTATTAAGCACATATTTTATAATGAGAAAAAATGCTTTTATTTTCAAGCTTTTTTCCCCCCTCATAAAATGTATTTCTTTTAAATAAATAACCAAACCAAAGCCCTGGGGTGGAGGGGTGGGGTAGTAATCCCTTTATTGGCCAGGTGGCAAAAGCAGATTATCTTGCAAGACAAAAATTACTGTGGGGTAGTGAAACATCAAACAGGATCTTGTAGTGTAATGTCTTCAGACTCTATAAGTAGGCAGAAAAGAAGCAGACAGCTTTTCATTTAGATTCTTTTTATAGGAAGAGGGCCTCAAGAAGTCACCTGGTTCAGACATCCCCCCTCTCCCTCCCCATCCGGTAGATAATATATTTACTCTTTTCCCCTCAGATGAGATGTATGAAGCCCACAGGTAATCCCCTGAGTTTAAAAGACACCTGGTGGTTCCTAGTTGTTAGCCATGACTCAAGAAAGGGACTTAGGAGTCACCATTGATTAAATTAAGGTGCTGCTGTAGCTACAAAGACCAAAAAATATATGCCAAGATTACTGTGTGCCAGGCACAAATCTGAGCCTAATTTCACTGAATCCACACTACTACTAGGAAGCATTATCACCTCTGGTTTATGAAGGGGAAACAAAGGCTCAGCTAAGTCAATAACTTGAGAAAGATCCCACAATCAGTGAGTGGTAGGGCAAGGGTTTGGACTCATGCTATGGTGGCGCCTGGTGCGGTGCTGAAGAAGGGAGAGTTGGCAGAGAGGGGAGACTGTAAATTCTCTTGGAGACCGGCTCTCCCTGAAGGATTCAATAGCGTTATTGCTCAACCCCCACATCCTCTAATTTGAAAAAACAAGCCCAGAGTTATAGCAATTTATGCCTTCACAGGGAAAAAGATACCTTATGCAACATGACATACTGCTTTACTTTTTGAATGATAGTTTTAATACTGACTGTAATGGGCTTCAGCATGGGTGATAAGGGTGGTGAGGACAAAATTTCCAAAGTTTGTTAGAGAATAGTTTGCCTTCCCCTGAGTTAACTAGTGGGAACTATCCCAGAAGGAAAATCTTAGGTTTAGGTGGAGGAGGGTAGGAGGGTAAGAGGGAGGTGGAGGTGGCGTGATTTCAGAAATCCTTCTAGTTGGAGTCAACTCTTAAAGTCAGAGCTGGCTGAAATATTAGGTTAGCTATTTGGGCACCAGCCATAAGAGAACTAGGAAATGCATAATGCAAATTACCGATAATGCAGACAGCATCTCAAGAAAGAAGAGAAATATCTCCATTTTATAAACAGGAACAGTAAGCATCTCCCCTTCTTCTCCTCTGCCCCCAGCCCCTCCCCAGCCGCTGGGCAGTTCACCTAAGGTCCTACAGGGAGAGAACGGAACATGGAGCAATGAGGCTGTTGCTTTTGGAGCCGTGCTCTATGGCTCCTCTGGGAGAGCTGCTCCCCCACTTCCAGTTAAGAGGAAGGCCCCTTCCTGCACACTTTTTGTTCATGGAGTTGACACTTCCTAAATGGGCTGCTCAGTCTGTGTTCTGTGTTCTGCTTCTTGGAGGCCCCAGACGAGACCACCCTAAAGGAGCTGGCTGAGACCCTGCAACACAAGAACATTGAGCACGTGCTGTGGCTGGAGCAGCCAGAGAATATCGCCACTTGCCTCGCACTCCGCCCCTACCCCAAGGACGAAGTGAGCCAGTATTTGAAGAAGCTCCGATTGTTCAAATGACTGATGGCGCTGAGACTTGCTTTGATACGTGTAGTGTCACCTGGGTCCAGACCCTGCGCCATCCATCCCGAAGCATCACATACTCCGTTCAGTGGCAACTCACTCTGCTGTTAAGTTAGGACAGTTTCTCGAGGGTCAAACACATGCTCACATTAAAGTTGTCACTAATTAGTACTTCCTCTTTGTTTTTAATCCTCACCCGAGGACATGCCGATTGATTTTAAAGCGAGGGGAAGGGAGGGAGAGGGAGAGAAACACACACTCATGTGAGAGAGAAACATCAATGGGTTTATGCCCCAACCAGGGACTGAATCCTCAACTGAGCCATGTGCCCTGACTGGGAATCGAACCCACCACCTTTCGGCAACTGAGCCACACAGGGAAAGCAGGTGAGCAGCAATATTGATTATGGTCATTGCTCAAATAGAACATTTGGTTAGACTCGTATACAGGGGTCAAGGAAATGCCTTTCCATTTTTGTTAGGACTAATAGAGTTCTTCCAGTAATCCAGGTTTAAAACTTTGCCTTTGAACTCCTTATTTCTTATTCATACCCAGTTATTGTTGAATCTAGGACATCAACTCTAAGATTTACCATTATTTTATGTGTTAAGGTACTGCCAATTAAAGATACACAATTAAGATGTATTTTAATTTCAAATATGTTAAAATACACACATTTCTTCAAGTTGATGAAATTTGTCGAGTACTGAATCTATTTTCCTGTAGTCGCAGGTGCTGCCACCCTGTGTCAGGCTCTGTCTTTGCTCATCGGAGTGCCCCACAGGTCCGCTCACCTCTAGCGTGTCCTGGGTACAACCCAGCAAACGTTCTGCCGTGCGGTTTATGTAGAGTCACTGAGCACCTTGTTCGGTAATAGGCTCCCATTAGCCCATGGAGTGAAATCAGAGCTCCTTAGCTTAACCTTCAGGCCCTCCACATTCATTTTCCTACCTACCTTTTTAGACGAATACTCTATTCCCTTATCCAAACTTGTGTCAGCAGAGACCCCGGCTGCACCCTCCAGTCTCTGGTCTGGGAGTTCTTTGTAACTCTCCCCTCCCTACCCTGCCTCTGGACTGAAACTGTTTCTGGCTGGAGTGCTGTACTTTCACAAGTCTTATCAGCCAAAATGATCATTACCTTCTCTGAATGACTGTAACACTGTAGCATTTAAAATATTTCTGTAAACATTTGGAGCCCTGGCTGGTATGCTCAGTGGATTGAGCACGGGCCTGCGAACCACATGATGGCGGTTCGATTCCCAGTCAGGGCACGTGCCTGGGTTGCAGGCCAGTTCCCAGCAGGGGACTCACGAGAGGCAACCATACATTGATATTTCTCTCCTTCTCTCCTTCCCTTCCCCTCTAAAAATAAAATCTTAAAAAAAAAAATTGGAGACATCGATTGAAATCGCCTGGATATCTGTGAAGCAGTTTGTAAAGGGCAGTTTGTTCAACAGATATGTTGAATGTCTACTGTGACAGGTTATCCCAGGAGCTGAGGATATAAAGATGAAAGGTTTTACTCAGGTAGCTAAGAATCTAGTGAGAAGACAAAAATAACAGAAATGTATGTGGGAATAATGGGTTTACCTTCCTCCCCACATCCCCTAGATACCAAGACCAGTGAGATACTACATACAATGATTTTCCTTCATAAGAGATGGTCACTTGAAACTAGGAGAGTGGATAGAGAATTAACAGTGCTGAGGGCAGAGCCAGCCCCGCCCCCTGCCCCCCCCACAGGAAGGCAAGTGAAGAGTTTCAAGGAGGAGAGGGGATCAAGTGCAGCATAGAATTTCAGTGAATAGGAACTGAAAACATTCAGCAACTGGGAAGCATTGGTTAACTTGGTGCAAGCAGTTTAAACAGCACCTGAGGGTGGGAATGAGACTGGAGGCTATTGAGACAATAACTGAAAAAGAGG